TGTTTTCGTTGGAGAGTAAATCACCTTTTTTTGTAGATATATTATTTACGATCTATGTTAGTGAGGAAAATACTACTTCTTTAACAATTTAGAGAAAAAAAATATATATCATACTTTGTTGCCATAGTAACAGTAATGAAATTTTATTTTAAGAAAGAAAGATCAAATTTTTTTAGCAACAAAAACAAAGATTGTTTGGGAAAGAAAAAGATCTGTATTAAAATTTCTTCATTTCTTTTAACTAAAGTAGATATTTCACTATTATTAAATGAAAAGATTTATAAAAAAAACTTACTGCAATATATGTAACTTGGATATAGTCACATTTCTATTCCCCTATCTCTGCTAACATAAAGTTTTATCAACAATATGTGCTGTGTATGTCTGTTATTTTTGAAAGACTACATGTATGTTCTTACATTTTTCAAATCTTAGTTTTAATATTGATGACAAAACATGAACGTGTTCAAATAAATGTAAATAACGAACATGATGTTGTTTATGTCTTCAGAAATCCCACACACAGAGTTTAATTAATAAAGACTTTCACCGTATTAGGTTTTATCCGGAAAGGGCTGAATCTGTTACTGGGACGTTGTTAAGATGTGACTTCAAATCACTTGCCCCTCACCCTTGCGTTCCAGTCCTGCCAGGGACGTTTGATTCTTTCATTTGAGGAAGCTATCCAACTAGCATTTAAAACGTCGGTGGATCTTCTTGGATGACCATTGGCACCTTATTTAATGCAAGGAATGGCACCTGAAGTCTTCCTCCAAGTCCCTATATGACATTTTCTTGTAAAACCAAATAAAAAAAGAATCTGCTACTGAAAGAGCCATCAGTTTTGTACGGTCAACATCAGTTACAATTGTCTGTTGGTCACAGACTTCAACCAACTGGCTTGTCACCACTAGAATGTCCACCTGGGACCTTGGATTTCTTTCACACGAGGAAGTTACTCAACTAGCTCTTAAAATGTGTTTGAAATAATGTACAGAGGGGCATCTGAGAACTTTGTTCCTCAGTTTTGATTGAAGGTCCACATATGGCCTTTTAGAGTTTTTCTTCCTCACACATGGTTGATAAGTCACTGAGAATTCACTATCTAGCTCTTAACATCTCACTCTTGAGTCTCATCCTTCAAACTTCAGTCTAGAATCCTAACTCTGAATCTAGAATGCCCCTAGAAAATCTTGTTCCAGTATTTATATGAAATACCGTATAAGTACTTTTTTCTGCGGGAACTTTATTTCTGCTATTTCTGCGGTTCGTTACGACACCGCAGATTTAAAAACCGCAGAAAATTAAGCCTTTCTCGGCTTTGTTTATGTTTACATGTGTCGGAATTTCAGCTACCGGTAATGTCTAACTACATTACCTAACCATTATCATGTATCGTTATACGCTTTTCACGGTATAAGTAGATTTTTCTTTCTCTCATGAATTAAAGATTATAAAAAATCGTTAGTTTGCTTGTTATTTTTGATGAAATAAATATCAACGTGTTAAATTGACCATTGTTTGAAATTATCATTAAAACCTGCAATAAACACGCTTTTATGCACCACTATTTTATGTGCGAATTTGCCATTGTGTATTTTTCACACTTACCTGTAAATGTCCACTTAAGCGAAATGATCGAAATTCCTTTATTCAAATAGTGTTGATTTTTTTCTTACAGGCAAATTTCTTCCGCCGCAAATGATCTTCACTGGTAAAACAACACGTTGTTTACCAAGCTATAAGTTCAAGTATTCATGTTGAAAAAGACGAACATTTGCAAGTTTTTCCATAGATTCTTTTCAATGTATATACATGCATAATTTATTTGTTGTGAAAGGAATATAATGAGTATATAAATAATGAATATACTGACTATAATGAACCTATAAGATAGTAAAATACATGAATGTTTCAAATTTATACACATACAGTATTTAAATTGTTGTCATTGCATTTTGTTGTTCTTTTTTCTTAATAATTACGTAATACCGGTATATAGTGTATATACCGATACATGATGATTACAACGAAACACATTACCAGTCGTCTGCATTTTTACCGGAAGTAATGACATATCAACAAATCTTGAAATGCCGTTTATTTTTATTGGTTAATTGTGTACAAATATCATGATTTAAACGCAGAAATAAAATGGGAGAATGATAGCACCGCAGAAATAAGAAACGCAGAAATTTAAGACCCCTAATTTTAACGAAAATCGCAGAATTTTAAGACCGCAGAAATAAGTACTTATACGGTACCTATTCTCTCCATATTTTGAGGTTACCTTAGTGTTAATTGACAAATTTAAGCCTTCTATATTTATGACGACAAGTGTTGATCAAGTAACTGTACCAGAAACAAACAGTCTGATTCCTGGAATATTTATGATGGTAACCAATGATTTATTTTCCTAAGCACAACAATTGCAGACCGACCTCTTGTCCATAATTTATGCAGGTTACTGTTGACAGAGTTACTATACTTAAATTTCCCAGACTGATACACAGTCTAACCCCAACAGATTCATAGTAATAAATAATGACAACATATGAGGTCTCAATTCTCATACAAACTTAATCATTATATCAAACCTTAACCAGGTACATTGCTAAAACTACAACAATACTAAATCATTATAGAAGTCTATATTATTTTCCAGAGATATATTATCAAAATGATACATTTCTACTGTTCATATCAATATCTGAAATAAAATTCATCCATCGTAGATAATGGGTAGGCTATGATAGATCCACTGGGTAAGTTGTCTGCTGGCTTTTCAGTCTGTCCAACCTTTAAAATTTTTATCCTTTGGAGGGTTTTACTCAATCTTGGCTCTAAAGTCCACCTGAACAAGACAATGTGCAGAGCCTATGCAGCCATTATGAAAAAAAAACAGGAATACAGATCAACAACAAGTTAAAGGCAACGTTCACAGTACGCAGCCCCCCCCCCCCGCCGACACACCCATGAAGGGCACCCAGAAGGCACCAAACAATAACCTTGAGTGGACATAAGGGCGGCGAAAGGAGAGGGACATGTAATGTGTGAAAAGATATTAACTAAAACAGGCCCATATGGGAATTAAAGGGATAAGGGTGAAAAGGGGAGGGGGTAAAAATATGAGAGGTGGGTGAAAAAATACTTACCGTAAACGACAATCATCACAAAACATGTAAACATTTAAAAACCAGTTACAATACAGACATGAAAAACACGTGAAGAGGGGTACCGCCTTGGAACGGTCAGTGGTAGTTAAACCACTGGGGAGTTTAACGCCAAAGCTCAATGCGAAGATCTAGTGTCAGACAATTGTGTGTCCACTCTGTCAACTGTTTACCCCTTGAAAGATTTTCAAAAAGGTCATATGCAGAGCCTATGTTTTCTCAAGATCAAAATAACAGTTCAAAGGCGATTGCCACACAACTTCTTGTCCACTATAAATATCTTTTATTTTTATACGCCCGTTTCAAAAACGGGTCACAAATGTTCACCATTGTGAGGCAGAGTGTCGCATGCAAAATTTTGGTCTCTAGCTGCGGCCAAAGTCAAGTTCATACATAGGGGTCAAAGTTCAGATAGAAATATGAAAATGTGTATTTGGACCATTTAGTCGTCATTAATTGAGGGATTGAAACATAAATGGTCATTATCATGACTACGGGTGTGAAACATGTAATTTAGGTTAATATATGCAAGGTCAAGGTCACTAAAGGTGATAAAATATAGAGATTTTGTCCAGAGCATATCAGCTACACATATGGAGTGATACTAATGAGACTTCATAGACATATTCGCCACTATAAGAGGCAGTGTTATGCACATAAGCCAGGTCTCTAGGTCAAAGGTCTAGGTCCCACTTAGAGGTCATTGAAAAACACTTGTCCGGAGCAAAACTTCTACATGCATAGAGGGATTTCAATATAACTTGGCACAAATGTTCATCATGGTGAGGCGGAGTGTCACGTGCAAAATTTAGTCCTTGTGGCCAAGGTCAAAGTCACACATTTAATGTAAGGGTCAAAGTTCTGATAAAAATGTGAACAAATGTAAACATCAGCAAGGGAATGTGCAAAACATAGCCGCCGCTGTTCTCAAATGAGTTTGTGTCATCAACCCGATACCTAGCTATTGTATGATTTTCTTAAAACTTACTTTACACCTCATTAATGCTCAGATCCTATGCCACCATTGTGCAGGATCGAAAACTTTTCTGGCCGCAAAATTAATTCGGTACTCTTTTGTAGGTTTTCTCTAACCCTGTATGGTCATGGTCACCTTTTAGGTCAAATGTAAGACAATTTTGTGTCCTCACTTGAAGGACTTTCTTCAAACTAGCGTTCTTAATTATTATTTGTCTAAAGAAATAACTGGGCCTACATAAAATCACTTGCTATAGATGGAATGGGTTGTTTGTCTCCCTTGTGGCAGATCTAGTTAAAATTTGCAGGGACTTTGGATATCATTATTGAGATATATTTTTTTTCTAATTTCTTATGTCAGAGAGAAGAGAAAAAAATACATAACACACACTGTCAAAAATGATTTAAGATTCAAATTAAAGTATGTTTAAAGTTTTTAAATATTGCTCTGTGATTAAATGTGCCAGATCAATACTAGATCTATATTTATCTTGAAAGATCATTTTAACTGCCCTTTACCCGACTATTCAAAGAGGTATGCAAGTTTTTGCTTGCTGGTTGGTATCTCCAAATTTACTGAATACACCGGAGCATAATAGCTTTAAAAATCATGATTAAACTTGAAAAATGATCGCTATGAAGTTATAGATCCAAACTGTAACCTGATACTACACCAGTCGCTTATTTGATTATGTGCTGAAATTTTAATAAATCGCTTTTAAACATTCATTATTTCAAAATGGACGAACTGTTTTCTTATAGACGTTTAAGCAGAAATGTGCAACGTGCAATAGAAAAAAATCAACATTGCTCTCTTTCGTGCAAGAAAAAAAATCGATTGACGACTTGCGTATGCAGCATGTTCAGTTTCATTCAAAATTTGGTAACAATCCAGACAAGGCGAAAATTTCCGAAAAAACCTACGATCTTCTTAATTTCCTGGGATATTCGAAGAAGGAATCAACAGACAGGGTGAGAGTTTTTAACAAAATATCGGAAGCAATGAGACGGACTTTTATTGCACTCTCTGGTTACACGCTTATAAAGAAAATTCTGGTTGGCAGCAAACGTGAAGGGATTTCTCTTCTTAGAGAAAGTGATACAGATTTAATGTTTGTATTTGAGAATATTGTGTGTATTGAGACGAAAAGATATCATCCTCAGAACGGAACGGATGAGTTGTTAGTTTACACTGATAATCGAGAAACGCCGCCTGGATATACATTACTATGTCTCCATGAAGATATTACTACCAATCAAAAGTTTGTTACGGAATCGGTAGTAAGGAAGAACGAGAAACTGTATCTATCTAGTACCTTATTTCTTGAACAAAATGGAAAGAATCTACGCACTAGTACAGGTTGGATCGAAAGCTCATCTATAAGGCTTCCAAGACGTGGTCCATCTTTACCAGAAACGCTGAAAAATGCCCACTGGTATGATCATATTTTGAAATTATTTAGTGGAGAGGCATTTATCAGCAAAAAAGATTGCACTCCAGCTTTGAAGTTTAAATCCGCATCTGCTGTTAAAGAATGGGCAAATAGGAAAAGATTTTACAACTGGCCTACCACAAAAATGATCAAACATGCGAAATCTATCCAATTGTTCCTCGTTCCAGTCGGCGAGAAAGGATCATCCGATTCAGATTTACAATGGCGTATAAGTTTTATCCTGATTGAGATATATTTGGTTCATCAATTTAGTGATATGCAGATTAAAGTTCTTGTTGTCTTGAGGTGGATTGCTCAAAACGTTTTGAAGCCTATTTACGAAGAAATGTCTTCATATGTTATGAAAAATATTGTGTTTTGGTTGTCAGAAACGACCAAACTTAAAAAGGGAAGTATTTTGGATCATCTGAAAACTTCTCTTGCTATGCTGCTCAAGTTTGTAAAAAAACGTCATCTGCCTTGCTATATGCTTCCCGAAAGAAATCTTCTTGTCTGTTTGGATGATGAGACACAGATGTTACTTGCATGGAAACTAGAGTCAATATTAAAAAATGAAGTATTGGAAGCATGTAAACACTTTGTTTGGGATAGGCACTTTGAACTTCTAAACTCTGAATATCTGACAAATTCCGAATTTTCTCGCTACTTAATGGCATCTATAGAGGTATTGAGCTCGATGGCGATTGGTTACAACAAATGTACAACTGCATTAGGTGCGCACTTGTATCTTGCTAAAGAATATGTAAAATTCGAAGAGGGGTCAACATTGATGGGAAGCTTATTTGCAAAGTTTGTTCGTACAATAAACGTAAAACATGAAGTGATTATGAACAGTGATCCACGTTCGACTTTTAGTCTGCCTTCGATCTTGATCGTCAAGACTATGTTATTGAATTTGGGTTGCATTGTCATAATTTTGCTTCTTATGTTTGGATTTGATTCGTACGTGGATAAAACACCAATTGTGACCAAACAAACATGCTGAATAAAGTAGATATGACCTTGACATTTAAATAACGTTGACCGTCAAGGTCAGATGATTGAATTGTGCTTATATTTTCTAACTTTGTCATTTATTTATCGAAACATTTCAATAACAAGTGCGACTAGTTACAAATTATGACAAAGTTTATTGACAAATCTGTGTAACAGTATACAAACAGAGATAAAAAAAACGCCCTTACAAAGTAAATTAAGTTAAAAATAAAGAAAATAATTATAACAAAAGAAATATTTGGGATGGCGGGGAGGGTTCAAATCGACTAAGAATTGTGAAAAAGCGCGAAAACCACTGAATAAAGTAATGCGGAGAAATACACCAAAGTCAATAACCCAGAAAATGAAAGGGTCAAAAAGTATGACAAACCAACAAAAACTGTTTTAAATCAATAATTAAAAGATTTTAGATAAATAAAAAAATACTCTAATTTTTATATATATAATTTTTACTTGAAATTATTATTTAGAATATTAGAAACTTATTAATGAAATTTTATTTTAAAAAAAGATCAAATTTTTTAAGTAACAAACAACATAGATTGTTTGGAAAAGAAAAAGATCTGTATTAAAAAATTAATTTCTTCATTTCCTTTAATTGTAGTAGATATTTCACTATTAACTAAATGCAAAGATTTAAAAAAAATATATGTAACATGGATATAGTCACATTTCTGTTCCCCTATCTCTGCTAACATAAAGTTTTTATCAACAATATGTGCTGTGTATGTCTGTTATTTTTGAATGACTACATGTATGTTCTCACATTTTTCAATCTTAGTTTTAATATTGATGACAAAACATGAACGTGTTCAAATAAATGAAAATAACCAAAATAGTGTTGTTAATGTCTTCAGAAATCCACACCACACAGAGTTTATACTTACATAGTCTTTTACCTTTATTAGGTTTTATCCAGAAAGAGTTGAATCTGTAATTACTGCACTTCATTGTCCGAGAGGTTGAGATCGTGACTTCAAAACCACTTGCCCATGCACCCCCCCCTTGTTGAAGTTTCAGTCCTGCCAGGGACTTTTGATTCCTTTATTTGAGGAAGCTATCCAATTGCATATAAAATTTCAGTGGATCTACTCGGGTGCCATGGCCGCCTTAATTAATGCAAGGGGAATGACACCTGAGGTCTTCCTCCCACGTTACCTATGCTAGTAAAAAAAGGGACAAAATAAATCTGCTTCTGAAAGGAGCCATCAATTTTGTACGGTCAATCAGTTACAATCTACTGTTGTTCACCAAGACTTCAATTCAACTGGCTTGTCACCACTAGATTTCCACATGGAACCTTTAGGATTTACTTTCACACGACGAGCGAAGTTCTCAATTCTAGCTCTCAAAGGTGCGTTTGAAATAATGCACAGAGGGGCATCTAAGAACTTTGTTCCTCAGTTTTGATAGAAGGTCCACATATGGCCTTTACGGTGTTTGTTGTATTTTAAACCTTTACGACAATCACATTAAAGTTAATTTGGTCTATAATGTAAAGATCTGTAATACCGTATATAATTTAATGTTCGATCAGTAACTTGTTATCATACATGAAAACAAACCACAAAACGAATTAAGTTTGTATGTTGTTCGTAAGTTATGACATAACAATATATAGTAGATAAGAAGGAGATTTTGTAGAAACAAAGTATAAATTCCATGAGTATAACTATTTGCATTGACTGTTATAAATTCTCTTCTCCCGTAATTTTTATAATTTCTACAAACTTCCATAATTTCACATAAAAAATATACAATAACTGTTCTTAAGTTCATTTATCTGTCTTATTTGTTGAGAAAATGTTCTTTAAATTTTCTACTCTACTATTAAAATTAAAGTTACAGAGTTTTTTTCCTCACACATGGTTGATAAGTGACTGAGAATTCACTATCTAGCTTTCTTAACATCTCTCACTCTTTGAGTCTCATTCTTCAAACTTTCAGTCTAGAATCCTGACTCTGAATCTAAGAATTGCCCCCAAAAATCTTGTTCTAGTATTTATATGAATATAACCTATCTCTCCATATTTTGAGGTTACCTTTAGTTTAATTTGACAAAATTTAAGCCTTCTATATTTGATGACGAAAGTGTTGATCAAGTTAACTTACCAGAAACAAAACAGTCTGATTCCTGAATATTATGATGGTAACCAATGATTGAGTTCCTAAGCACAACAATTGCAGACCTCTTGTCCATAATTTATGCAGGTAACTGTTGCACAGAGTTACTATACTTAAATTTCCCAGACTGATACACAGGCTAACCCCAACAGATTTTATAGTAATAAATAATGAAACATATGAGTCTCAATTCTCATACAAACTTTAATCATAATATCAAACCTTAACCAGGTACATTGCTAAAACTACAACAATACTAAATCATTATAGAAGTCTATATTTATTTTCCAGAGATATATTATCAAAAATGATACATTTCTACTGTTCAGTATCAATTATCTGAAATAAATTCATCCATCGTAGATAATGGGTAGGGTATGATAGATCCACTTTAAGGGGGGTAAAAAAAAAAAAGTTGTCTGCTGGTTTTTAAGAAATTTGTTATCTTTGGAGGGTTTTGTACTCAATTCTTGGCTCTAATGTCCACTTGAACAAACAAGTGCAGAGCCTATGCAGCCATTATGCAAAAAAAACAACAAGAATACAGATCAACAACAAGGTAAGGCAACGTTTTACAGTACGCAGCCCCCCCCCCCACCCGACACACCAAAAAGGGCACCCAGAAGGCACCAATAACAACCTGGAGTGGACATAAGGGGCGGCGAAAGGAGAGGACAATGTTTAATGT